CCAAAAAATACACTCCAGACACGCCGTTGGCACTAGAGGCACAGCATGGCCGCCTAGTAACGGCCCCGACCACTGCCGCTCGACCTGATCGGAAAAAAACATAGCAGGAAGCCAGCGAAGTCGTAGCATATATTGTCACAAACAAAACTGCCCGGTAAACCGTAGGCAGAGAGAGAGAAGAGGATAACAAACGAGGGGCTGTGAGAAACTGTTTCGTCGGAGTTTCACCGACTCATCAGGAGGCTGAACCCTCAACAATCTGCAGAATTCCCCCACTGATTACAGTGTAAATGATAATCTACCTTAACCAAAATCAAAGTAGACTATCACTTACCCACAGAAGATGGAAAACTCTACAGACTGTCGGTTCACACCCCATCACAAGCCAGCAAAACATCCACAAAACAAAGAAAGGTCTGTCACAGCCAAAAAATACACTCTAGACACGCCGATGGCACTAGAGGCACAGCATGGCCGCCTAGTAACGGCCCCAACCATTACCGCTCATATATATATATATACATATATATATATATTGTCAAATACATACATATATATATATATATATATATATATATATATATATATATATATATATATATATATATATATACACAGAGTTATCAGAACACACAAGTGAAGAAAAACAAAAGGAAACAAAAATATGTCAATAACAAAACAGGGGGCAACAACATCGTGGATGACAAACCCTACATGTAAGCATCGCTCAGAACTTCATAGGCCAAACAAGGGGACAAGACCAACCAGGATATCAAAACACTCTTGCCTGCAAAAACAGTTCATCATTTCCCAAATATATATCTATACACATCAGACAAGGGTCCTGAAAAACCAACATGACAAATCCTCGATGACAAGTCCAACATGCAAGCCCCCCCCCCCCCCCCCCTCCTCCCCTCCAACCGACCTCACATCATCAGGAAAAACGGAGGGACAATCGCCAATTAGGATAGCAATCAACACCCTTGACTGCAAATACAAGTGTATAAGGACAATCCCAGATGACGAATCCGACCTAAAAAAACCGCCTCCCATCAAAAGGCCTAACAACGGGAACAAACCAACTAGGACGCTAGAAAAAAAAAAAAAAAAAAAATCGATCAACCAGTCACACATGAAAACACCGCCACGTGGACCTAACAACCCACATGAAAACACCGCTGCGTGGACCGAACAACGACACCAAACCAACCGGAATGCAGACAAAGACTACGAAAAACATCGAAAATTTCACCATACCCAACACTTAAAAAAAAAAAAAAAAACGAAAACATACACTACGTCCGTAATTCGAAATGCCCCGAGAAGGGAACAAAACGTCGCAGACGTAATGAAACAGAATAGGGCACATGAATTCCCATCGCGAGATGCCCGTTTATTTGTTCCGTTCGACAATGTGTTTGGTTGTTGTTGTTTTTTTTTTTTGCCACGACGCCTTTTTATTTTTATTTTTTTTGGGTTTTGTTATCTTCAACTACGTACCGGTTCGTACTATACAAAAGGTAATATATCGTGTTTGTACATACTGAAACGATCGACTTCTACGACCAGCCCTAGACTGCTGCAGATCTTTCATGAAAGTGATTATATATATAGTGTCAGGCTATTCAAAATAAAAGACGTTTCATTTCTTGCAATATATCGACATCCCAGATTTTCACACTTTCAAAAAATTGACTGTTCGATAGAATGATTGATAAATTGATTAATTGATTGACTCAACGATGGAGTCATAACTTCATTCGCACTACTGATCGATTTACTGATTGATTTATTGATTGAAAGATTGAGTGATCGACCGTTTGTTTGTTAGTTTCATGCATTGGTTGTCATTCGTGTCAGGCTATTCAAAATGAAAGACGTTTCATTTCTTGCAATATATCGACATCCCATATTTTCACACTTTCAAAAAATGGACTGTTCGATAGAATGATTGATAAATTGATTGATTGATCGACTCAACGATGGAGTCATAACTTCATTCGCACTGCTGATCGATTTACTGATTGATTTATTGATTGAAAGATTGAGTGATCGACCGTTTGTTTGTTAGTTTCATGCATTGGTTGTCATTGTCGTTTTTTTTTTCTTCGTTCGAATGATTGAATTTTTATTTGTTTGATGAATGGTATGATATGGCATTCGACACACACACACACTCTCTCTCTCTCTCTCTCTCTCTCTCTCTCTCTCTCTCTCTCTCTCTCTCTCTCTCTCTCTCTCTCTCTCTCTCTCTCTCTCTCTCGCATACCTAAACAGTGCACATGTTACCCAAGGTCCGACCTTTGCCAGATGTAGCGAGGAAAGCACGAGCTTTCACCCAAGAATCGACCTTTGACAAATAAAAACCCAATATTGAAACCCAATTATCGAGCCACCCAATGTGGACATCATCATCATCATTATCACAGACTGTGAGCGCCGAAATGGCGCTTTCACATTCTGAAGAAGCGCCATGTTCCATTCAGACACGGCAGACCACGAAGGAGGATACATGAAAGAGAGGAAGAAGAAGAGATGTCGTGGAGACCGATCCCGAACACTTTTCCTAACCCTTTTAGTACCTCCTCCCTAAACTGTGTGACGATGATGATCATGTTGTGGCATGTAACTGGTCAGATTACTGGTCCTGCGATTCCCCACGTGCATGTGTTACTACATCTGAGGTAGATTACGATATATTTCGATAGCGTGTGTGTGTGTGTGTGTGTGTGTTTGTGGAGAGAGAGAGAGAGAGAGAGAGAGAGAGAGAGAGAGAGAGAGAGAGAGAGAGAGAGAGAGAGAGAGAGAGGGGCGATGGCGATGGCGGCCCGCGAAGAACCCTACAGCGAGACGTCCGCAGACAACGGTCCTTTGCGCGTCGATGCAAGGTGGTCGCCCATGAATGCGGTCGTCCAGTCACCCACCATCCACAAGCGACCGCAGAGCAGCGACCGACCAATCTGCCACGCCCCAATTCGTCCCCGGCAGGACCCGGTAGTGTTTCCACAATGCGCCCCGTCATCCAGGAACGACCATCGGCCCGCCAATGTCTGAGCAGGATGGAAAAAAAAAATTACAAAATCGTTTTCTTTTCGGGACACTGAATCGATGCCGAGCCTCCCCTTGGGACTCCCGATAACTTCGGGAACTGGCAAAACATCGTAATTTCCCAACACTGGCGGAGGTACTAGTGGTTTAAAGCTATGTTCTTCTCTCAATTTCACCTCACACTACTTCCCTAATACTCTAAAGCAAAACCCGGGTCTCGTGTGACGGTCCCGCGAGAGACCCGGTTCTCTGGTGTGGCACTTCGGGGGGAGGGGCGCGGTGGGCCCAGCGGCAGGTACCTGTCGGGACGCGGTTTCGGGGTTCGTCGTGTCGTTTCACACCGGCACACC